CCCCAAAACCCCAAAACCCCAAAACCCCAAAACCCCAGATTAGTGGCTGGATATTGAATATGATAGATTATTTGTTAAAGAATTGAGATAAAAATTATGACCATCAAAAGTGTAAGTATAGTTTTCCAAAACCAGGGGTAGACAACCAATAAACTGCAACTTAATTGAACAATTTTACAACTCTCCAGTCTCAGACTCATTCTTTGCTTTAGATTACCATTGATAAAACTTATGCAGAAGATAGCAAGACTGAGGAAGCTAAGCTCGCTCCAACCATGAAGACAGCAAGGGAATCAAAGAGAACTGTAAAAAAGGCAAGAAAAGAGCCACAGAAGCCTCTTTGCTCAATTTGTTATGAATATATTGAGCTCAAGCAAATAGTTCCACTTGAATGTGGCCATATCTTTCACCCTATATGTGTTAGAAGACACATCAGAGCCAAAGTTGATGCTAGATTCCTACCAATTGCATGACTCGACACTAACTGTGGTGAGGAACTAACATCCTCAGAGCTTGAATTTTTCTGCAACAATAGACTATATGAAAGATTAATAAAAATCCAAAAAGAGCTTCTAATTCTACAAAAGCACATTTTCTATATCCAGTGTCCCACTCAGGAATGCAAATTTATGGGTGAATGGAACAGAGACGAAGATAACTCTTACATTTACTGTACCGATTGAAACCTTGAATACTGAGCTTCATGTAGAGTCAAGTTCCACTACAACACTAGCTGCAAGGATTACAGAGAGGCAAATGATTTGCCTGAACCAGATTTTGAGAGTATTAAAACTCAAATCTTCAAGGATCTGGTAGGAAGCGATCTTGGACTCCAGCAATGCACAAATTGTAAGTACATTGTTGAGAAGAACCGCGGTTGTGACCATATCAGATGCTTTTGTGGATATGACTTCTGATATAAATGTGGAGGCAAGTACCGTCACTGTGACTGATAGCATTCCGACATTTCTTTGCCAAATTAACCACTAATATTAAATTAACTATGATCTAACAGAATACCAAATTCCAGATCTATTAAATTAATTTCTAAATTAGTAGAAAATCTTGTAACTGTTAAATTTCAAAACGAATATTTTTAATTTCTACTTAAAACTCCTTAATTTTAAATCAAGAAGAGTAGCTACAAATAAAAATATTTTAACCGACTGATCTCAAGGCTAGTCTAGAGCACGGAGTAACTTACCAAGATACCACGATTAGTAGGGGAGCATAGATATCAGAAGTGTTGATATAGAATCTGACATTTAGGGATCAGAATATTCCTTCTGAATATTGGATAAATAAATATCTGGCCTGGGGTTTTGGGGTTTTGGGGTTTTGGGG